GAATTGCCCTCCCGGGGCGGGAGGGTGAGGGAAGGGCGCGCAGGGGGAGGGAGAGGAGGGGAGAGAAGCGGGGGGAGCTGCCCCGGGCAGGGCCCGCACGGAGCCGCCGGCGCTGCGTCAGCTTCGGCGCTTCCTTGGGATTTGCAATTAGGGTGTAAGGGCCGGTGCGAGAGGGCTTCCAAAAATCTGCGCCTGGGTGCGGAGTGCGCCCAGGTACCGCTGGCTGCTGCGCGGGGCGTGTAACGCGGATAGCCCGTAGAAGCTGTGCTGCGTGGTGGAGCAGGAGATCAGATAGTCGAATGTGTTTGTTATCCCCGATTTCTTCAAATAGCTCGGTGTTCCGTTTTGGACCTAGAAAATACCCTTAGATGCCTGGCGTAAGTAGACTTGTAAGAGGACGTGGGTGTTACTGTGGAATTGTTGTCAGAGACCTCTGTTTTGAAGTGACCACTAAGTTGGTTGCTGAGGTTTGTGTAACTGAGGAGGATCTTAGTGCAGAGACTCGCATAGTTAGACCTCAATGAAAATTGAGGGGGGAAGGTTACACAGAACTTGCAGTCAAAGGATTATTGAGTATTTTCTTAAGAAAATACGTTGTAGCTGGTTTTGCAGCTCTCTTCCCACTTGGCATGTTTCTTTTGCATAAAAAAAAGAAACTTTACGTGTTTCTTCTTGCATAAAATTAAAAAATCTATTAGGAAAGACCGAAGTCCTTACCTTGTTTACACTATGTGTTTTTTGTCTCAGGACCATCTGTAGTCGAGATGTCACCATCCGTATGTGTACAAGAGATAAGAAGTAAACTGAAAGATGGTCCTATGTTTACTGCTTACTGCTCACTGAATCAGGATTCAGTTTTTCTGTTTTGAGACCAGTAAGCTTTCTATGTTACCTGACAATTTAAGCAGTTTATGTGGCAGATTTAAGACACATTTCTCAGCCTAATGGTTGGCTCAAAACGTGCATTAAGTATGGTTTAACAAAATTGGAAAGTATCAGAATATAATAATAATCATCATCAGAGTTTGATTTCAGCTATCTCCTCCTTCCAAGAATAATGTTGTGCTATGTTAATAGCAAATTGGCTCCTTATAAAAATCCCTGTTCCCACCTCTTGGGTTTTCCAGAAGTTTAAGGATGTTGTGTTGATATGGCTGCTGCAATTAGCTGCCATCAAGAGAAACCTCTTACTGGTTCCTGTATATCACTATAATAGGCAGGTTTCTTGTTTAACGTATTAATAGCGTAAACATCTTTTTCAGAATTAATTGAAGTTTTAGGTCACGTTTACAGCAACTCTGTAGTCTCATTGTAACCTTCAGCAAATGTCTGACATGTCTGCTTTGTCTGTTTTCATTTTGTCTTATGTCTTCTGTTGGCAATGATTTCTAACATAAAAATGCAGTGAATGCTTTTGCCTTTTTCAGCTGGTCGCTTAAAAGTCATTAAGCCTTGTGTTGTTCATTGTTGCTAGGAAAATGTTAGGAAAACTGTTGAGCAGTTTTTCCTCCATGTATGAAGGACTTAGAGAACCTGAGAATCAATAAGTTGTGCCTTTGTAATTTCATGTTTGTATAACCGCTAGGTGTATTTTCAGAAGATAACGGTGTTGTTAATGATGAAACTTGTGTTCACTGCTGTTACAGAACAGAAAAACTTGTGCCTATGTAAGCAATAAAGCAGAAATACAAATGTATTACTGCCAGAATATGTGCTGCTAAAAATGTATATATAGATGCTGTCATTTCAATTTTCAGAAGAAAATGCTGTCTTTTTAACTGCAGAAGAACAAGGCTTTGTCTTCCTGTAATTCTGAAGTGAAAGTTGTCATCAACAAGAAAACTAAAACCTTTTAAAGCTAGGCGTTAGTAGTAGAATGCTGAAACAAGCTTCTGGATTAGCTTCATTGGCTTTCCTGCTTCTTTTGCATCCCAAAGCATAAGCTTAAATCGTCTCAGAAGGACAAGGTCCGCCAGTTTATGGCATTTACCCAGGCTGGTGAAAGGACTGCTATATACTGCTTAATGCAGAATGAATGGAAACTAGAAGTGGCAACAGACAACTACTTCCAGAATCCAGACTTGTACTACAAAGAATCCATGAAAAACTCAGTAGACAGGAAGAAATTAGAACAATTGTATAATCGATACAAAGGTAAGGCTTGGGGGGTTTTTTGTTGTGGGTTTCGTTTGTTTTTCTTATTGTTTAATTTGGGTGGTATTTATGCTTTTCTGTCTGCCATTCTTAAGGACTTCTGAGGAAAGATTTCTAGCTTTTGCTTCTAACTCTGTGTTTGCAGTGGTGAGATAAGAATGAAAAAGGTTTCAAATGCTCTTCATATTCAGTACACAACTTCTGTAGATATTCCTGTAGAGTTTAAAGTAAATTCACAGTAGGAAGTTAAACCCATCACAAGGAAATAGTGTGAGCTACATATGGTGGAGAGTGAAGCTGATTATACAGCTTGTTTGATGAGGAAATAGTGTGAGCTACATATGGTGGAAAGGAGAGTGAAGCTGATTATACAGCTTGTTTGATTTATTGCCAGTGTCTGCTATTAAATATATGTACAATGCACTTTGTGTGGTGAAATAATACATACAATTCTTGTACTAATATTTGGGGGAGTTAATTTTGTTCAGAGAGAGTAGTATTTTTGTACATTAAAACGAAAAACAATTCGTATAACATTACAGCTAGGAGTCTGACAAAACAGTCAAATAAGAACACTCAAAAACTAGTCAAGGAAACTACACCTTAATTTATTCTTTGTGCTGGTGTATTACAGCAGAAGTGAGGTGTCTGTTCAGAGGGGCTTGGCTGGTAAACCGTGGGGAAGGGGATTAAAGGCAGAGTTGTTTCTTTTCCATTTATTTTTATTTTACAGCATTGTTAAAAAGAACAGAAAGAAGAAAAGGTAAAGGTAGTCATGTAAATATAAGAATGTACATGATCCAGGTAACAGTGCTGCCTGAAGTGCGGCCATCCGACATGAAAGTGTCGGTCCTTCGTTACATGTTAGAGCGGAGGGCTGGAATCGTTACCAGCCCCTGCTGAGATCCGTACATCTAGTGTTTTGAAAAATGAGCTCTTAACAGTTACTCAACCGTGATTTTATGTGCTTTTCTTGTTGTAGTATACGATATGCTTTGTATACACTTTATCCTGTTCTTAATATATTGTTACCACCTTTTTTTGTTACTTTTTACATAATGTGTTCTATTTTAAGTATGCACGTTCTTCAGTATTTTATTATTATGTGGTAATGAACTGTGTAGGGACAAAGAATCAGCAACACTATAGCATTTCCGTTGAGAAAAAAAAAAACACCTTAACTAGAGAAACACTTTTTTGATTTATTTTATGTATGTATATATATGTATGTAAATATATACAGCAAATATATATACACATATTTAAAGCTTTTGCTTGCTCCTTGCATGTCAGTCTTGGAGATTGCTGGGTTAAAAACGTATACAAATTTGTAAATGCTTCCAAGAATATTCAAAATGAAAAAAAAAAATCGCTACTGTCATTTATTTTTCATAACTTTCTAGCAGTGGCCAAATGCACCGCTTGGCTTTTGTGAAAGAAAGTATACTCAGTTTTATGTATGTGATTTGATTAGCAGCACACCTTTGCAGTTCTAGCATTTTAACACTTAAGTTGTAAACTTGAGAAAAAAACCTTCACAAGATTTGAGAGAAAACAATAAAAGGTTTGGTTAAGCACCTTTCCTTTTTTCATGCGTAGCTTAAACTGGAGCCATTGGCCTTGCAACACCAGGAATTCATTTGTCCTGCAGGATCTATAGAATACAACATACACTGCACTGTATTTGAAATCTGAGACAAGGTTTTTCATTTTCTGGTCTCTTTTTTTGTTAGTTTTCTTACCTGTTTATCCAGCAACCCTGTCGGAACAACAATTTTCATTTTTGTTCCTAGTAACCTGGATGGTGTGAAACACAAGGATGAAACAGTCCTTGTTGGAGCCTATCAGTATTTTTCCACTGATTTCAACCCTAGTGCACTTTTTGCCTTTGGTTCTTCAATTACTCTCCAAATATACAAGAAATGGAAGTTTATGTGTCTTGGAACTAGATCTGGTGTATAGTATATAGATATGTTTACTTATTATTCCTGCTCAAGGTCTCTGAATGACACTGTGGATGTAATTGTTTGATGGGTATAGGTCTTTGCTAAATTAACTTCCTCTCTGCATTTTAGTATTTCTTCCACTGTGATATTGGCTGGAACAAGTGGAAGATATCTTAGCTAAACACAAAAAAAAAAACAAAACAAACAAACAAAAAACCCCCAAACAAATCACCAAACCAGAAAGTTTTCTTTAGATTTGATTTTTTAGATTTTTTTTTATCAACTCATTGGATAAGGACTTAAAGAATAGCATGATTGAGTATCTCACCAGTTTAAGGTATTAATCTTAAATTTACTTGAGGGATACTTTCCTACATAGTCCAACTGAGAATACTGAAATATCTTGCGTGTTCAAAAGCTGGGAAGGAGAGTTTTGTACTCTGCAAGCTGTCAAGCTTTGAAAACTAATGGTCTTATTTTTGTTGTTGTTGTTTTGGTTTAGTGGGGTTTTTTCCCTCCATTTATTTCAGTTTACATGCAGGGGGGTTGGTTTGTTTGTCTGGGTTTGGTTTTTTGGTTTGTTCGGTTTTTGTTGTTTTGTTTTTTTTGAGAGAGAATTTCGTTACAGTTACAGAATTGTTACAGGGAAGTCTGCCCTGACACAGATAGTTACAAGGTGCAGTTCTGACACTTAGTACTACTGAAACATAGCATTTCCACACTTGTATTGTTTAGCTTAAGACCCTGTTATGCTAAGGCATTTTTTTTAAGCAATGTTTTGGTGATTTCCCTGACTTTAATTAAAAACCCAAAGATGTTTGTTAACTGTGGTCTTTAAACTGTTATAGTGGATGATCATAGATCCATATCAGGAAAAATCTGTGGGCTCACTTGGTAGCTGTGGTTTTATTGTGGGTTGGGTTTTTTTTTTGTTTGTTTTGTTTTGGGGTTTTTTGCTTTATTTTTCTTTTAAAGTTTAATACATGATAACCAACAAATATATTGTACATTTTGATGTTTATCAGCCTTACTGTTTTTAGATGAAGTCAGGCATCTCCTCAGTTAATCTTTCATAGAGCCTTGTGGAGAGAAGACAAAACTGTTTCATTGACATTAGCTGATGAATTTAGGATAAAAGTTGCAAACTGGTTTCTTTGTAAGTTTGCAGAATACTTAATCTATTTACAGACGAAGATTTCAAGTGAAGACATTTGTGAAGCTTATGAAAAAATTAAAAGTATGCTGTGTTATGCAGCATATCAAAGCTGTGCAGATGATTGTTTGCAAATATTTTTTGTAAATAACTACAATTCTCCTCTCTGTATTTTGAACTGCAGACCCACAAGATGAAAATAAAATTGGCATTGATGGGATTCAACAGTTCTGTGATGATTTAAGCCTGGACCCTGCCAGTATCAGCGTTCTGGTTGTAGCGTGGAAGTTCAGGGCAGCTACTCAATGTGAATTCAGTAAAAAGGAATTTCTTGACGGCATGACAGACTTGGGGTAAGTAGCCACTTCTGCATAGCTCAAAATGTAAGACCTGAGCTCAGTTTATGTTTAAACCATTTTTAGTTGAATTAAGTATGAAGCTTCAAAAAGCTGGTAAGGCTGGCACTGAGCTTAATGGGTGCTAAATGCCTGTAGTGTCCCGTCTTCCTTAAATTGGTGCTTTACTGCAAAGCCTTAACAATGACCGCAGTAAGGGTGAAGCAAAATAATTCCTACCTGTACAGCAAGGAAAACGGATATGCTGATCTTCTCATGTGATTCATACGAACATATGCATGGTTGTGTTAGGGTTTTTGACTTGGAATGTGTGCTGATAAAAGCTGGAGGTCACTGGAGATGTATGAAGGGAAAAAAAAAGAAGTTCAGTCAGTGTTGAAACATCAAAGAAATAGGAAAGCAGAAAAGAACCTTCGATTATTTCCCTTTACCTTATTACCACCAAGTGCAACTATTTCTTTCCTTTTACCAGTTTTACAAACCATAGTTTTCTCTTATTGTCTTGTATACCAGATACTTCATTTGTACAGAATATCTATAAGAAATTGAAGTGAAAATGAGGGTATTGGTAGTAGAAA